TGCACTCTCTCACCGCCCAGGTTACTTATGCTCTCTGAGTCTGTTTCCACCCTGCAGGGTTGTTGTGAAGACAAATGCAAAGTCCTTACCAGGCTGCTGGGCACAAGGAAGTACTCAAAAAAGTCAGTCCCCGTCACTTCAGAAACAAAGCCCTTCCACTGGGACTTCTTTTTTTAAAGATTTTTTATTTTAGAGAGAGGGGAAGGGAAGGATAGAGGGAGAGAAACATCAGTGTGTGGTTGCCTCTTGCTCACCCCCTACTGGGGACCTGACCTGCAACCCAGGCATGTGCCCTGACTGGGAATTGAACTGGTGACCCTTTCATTTGAAAGCTGGTGCTCAATCCACTGAGCCACACCAGCCAGGGCCCCCTGGGACTTTTGATGGTAGAGGCAGAGGTGTTACAAAGAGTGCAAAGGCAAGGCATAATCTCAAAAGGTCTTTGAAAGTATCTTTAAAAACTGGCCTCCCCTCAGCCCCAGTCCTTTCTTTCCTAGGCAGTGGCTGTGACCAACCTCAGTTGAAGACCAGCTGTGCAAACCCCCTACCCCCGCCCTCCAGGCTAGTGGATTTAGTGTGTAATAGGCTTTCAACCCAGCACGCCTAGTAATCCAGGCACAGTCATACCCATTTTATTGCATCTTGCTTTGTTGCACTTCACAGATGATGCATATTTTACAAACTGAAGGCAAGACCCTCCACCAGCAAAAATATGACAACTTGTTTTACCGTGAAACTGGCTTTTTCGCAGTTGTCTCAAACAGAACCCACAATAACCCCAAGGTCCATGTGTATTCAGGCAGCCAAGAAGAAACACTAATCGATGATTGCAGGGGGAGGAAGACGACATGGGGCAGACAGAAATGGGTGCTGGGGCTAGAGAAGGCTCTGGAAGTGGAAAGTCAGACTAGGAAAGACAAATTCTGCACTTCAGTGTGACCTGAAGCAAATTTTATTCTAGACCTGCAACTCATTGTGTGACACTGAGCAAGTGCCACCATGACCCTCTTTTCTCTAAAATGAGGATAAATGACATCAGGTTGAACCACATGAAAGTAAAAGCTCAGCTGTTGGCAATTTCATATCATTCTACCTGATACCTACCACGTAAGGTGGTTTGTGCCTGACAGCAGGGAGTTTAGCCCCTGGAGCCACTCTGTGAGGGCTCTGATCTCTGAGGCCAGCCCTACAGCCCCTTTGTGGTCCACGGCCTGGCCACTCCAAGCAAGCCCCACCTACCTGCCCCCACTGTCACGGAAGGCAGTCTGAGGTCAGCTGTCACCATGGTCACCAACACACCCACTCACTAATATCCTCGAAGCATTCATGCAAAAGGGTTTTTAGAGGCTCGGACCTCACCTGACCCCATCGCAGGCCACAGAAGGGAGGCAGGCCCAGGCCTGCTGTCCCTGTGGAATGAATGGGAAAGCCAAGACTCACAGAGGGAGAGGGACATAGTCGGGAGGGTGAGAACCTGCAGTCAGCCTCCCTGGGGGAGGAAAGAGCAGGGGACCAGCGTTCCTTGGGGGAAGCTGGATTACCCCTCCAGGTGCTGAACCAGGAGACAGCCTGTGGACGCTGGCTGTGACCTAGGAGACAGCTGCCCCAGGCCAAGTACAGCAGCAAACAGCAGCCATGACCGCCCTCTGAAGAGCCTGCATTAAAAGCATGAGACCCAAGTTCTCTGCTTCAGATGACCTTGGTGAGTCCCTGACAGGCTCCTAAGCATTCTCACCTGGAAAATGGGGACCACTCCACCTACCACTAATGGGGCTGGGACAAGGTATGAAAAAGATGAAGGCTGGGGCAGTCATGAGTCTACATTGGGGCCATGAAGGTGGCACTGAGGGTGAAACGGACACTGTCGGGGAAGGAGACAAGGAGACACACTCCTGATCTTGCTGATTCTACAAGAAATTTCACCCATTAGTCCTTCACTGCTAATTTGTGTTTCCAATGACCCCTGAACCATAGGCCCACCCGAGATCAGCTCTTCTCTATTTCTTGCCTAGTCTAGTGCAGTATCCTCCCAACCAATCTCCCTGTTCCCTCCCTCAATCCATCCTCCAATAGAAGCATAAGTCCTGCAGGAGAAAAGTCCAGCCTTCACATCTAGTTCAGCCACTCCCCTCCTCCATAGTCACCATGGTTGGTGCATTTTCACCTGTCCCAGACTCTGAATCCCAAAATGGGAGATGACCACATGTCTGCCCCTTGGCCTTTCCCAGCCAATGCTGCTGCTCTTCCCCAAGCCCTCGGCTTATACCTCTCACTGCTGGCATGACAGCCTGAGAGTCCCAGCAATACCCAACCCATCCCAGGGGTAAGCATATAGGAAAATCACGGTCCTTCCCCCGGGAGCACCAGATCCCTTTATTCATCCCTCTCGGATGACCCTCTGCATTTCACTGAGCACTGACTGGTCTCTCTGCCTGCACGGTGGAGCCTGACCCACCTCCATCACCCCCAAGGCACCCTGTGAGTGTATGTATACAGTGTCCTGCCCCGCCCCCACACCCTGGGCCCCAACTCAGGCTTCCCCATCCCTCCCTGATCTCTCCAAGACACCCTGCAAATGTCGTCAGATTAATCTCATTAGATGGTAAGCTCTTTCCCACTGTGCCCATGCTCAAAACTCTCAAGGCTCCCAGCACCTTCAAGATAAGGTCCAAACTCCTGAGCCTGATGTTCAAGCCCTTTCTGTGACACACAGCTGATGTGGGACAGGGGTGGAGATGAACTTAACAATGGCTGTTCAGTGGTTAATCTACAGGAATTTGGGCAGTGGGCTTTTTCTGCTGGCCACCTTTTGGTGATGCCCACTCTGCTGAAAAAGGGCTTCCCCTGTTCTCCCCTGGCAAATTCCGACTCACCCTTCAATTCCCAGGTCACATGCCCCCTCCTCCGGGAAGCCTTTCCTAGTCCCTCTGCAGTCCAAGACTCTGAGTCCTGGCTTCCCAAGGCCCTCCTCACTTCTCTCATCCCTCAGCAGTGTCACTAGATTCTATGTCTCTCTGTCCCACCAGGTTGGACTCTCCTTTGGTAAAAAGTAGGTCCAGTCCCCCCATCTGCACCCAGGGCCTAGTGAAAGAGTGTCAAATGACCAATGAGAGACATATGACAGCAAGATGAGATGAAACTAAACGTCTGACCACAAAAGCACCTCCTACAGACTGGCCCAACCCTTGGTCCAGTCACTGCCCCACATCTGTCCAGGTCTGGTCTCGAATATACATAAGGTCTGAAAATTTTAAATACCAGCCAAGGATGCCCCTCCAAAGGCCACTGGACTGCACTGAGTGAGGCTCTAACCAATCTAGAAATGACTTAAACAACCAAAGCTAAAGAAAAAGAAAAAAAGAAAGAAATTACTCCTGGTTAACCCTCAGCCCAAAAGCTCACAGAGTCTCATGAGAGAGGGGAGGAGGCTTCACGAAGGTCTCACCCTCTCCTTACCCCAGAGCACAGCAGCCCCTCCAAACCGCAGCTCAGCACCTACGGGTTGAACAGCTCATTTCCTCTCTGAACTCTCATGACCGGTTTCCCTCCTTTGAATCCCTGGGGCCGGTAGGGTCCCTTCCCAAAACTAAAAGTCCCTCCAACCCTGCTCCCCACCCCCACTCCATCTCTGGGAAGCAGCTTCTCTCCCTGTGTATTTTTTAACAACTTCTACCCAAGGCAGCCCTAGGAAGAAGACCCCCATCTGGGCCACCTAGCTATCTCCTGGGTGAAAAGAGGTTTTATTGGTAAAAAAGCAAACGCTCTCTTACTGAAGGGGTGCAGGGGACAGAAATGAAGAGGGTGGAAGCATATATTCCCTTTTTAGGAACCCACCACACTCACCCACCCCTGCTGGGGGCCACCCCTCACATACCTCTGATGGCCTTGTCCCCACCCCCACGTTTTCTGGAAGGGTGGGCGCCAGGCTGATACATCAGGGTCTCCAGTTCGCTGTGCTCTCACAGAGCAGGCAGCCCGGGCAGGACGCTAAGGATAGCAGAAGCCCACTCAAAGCGGAGGCAGACTATTCGGACCCCGGTTTGTGCCCTGGCTCGGCCCCACCCCTCCCTCCAATTATACCAGTGCACCTGCTCCCATCCCAGGCTGGGGTTGCTGACGCCACCAAAGACTGGCGAGCTTCGTGGTACTGAGCGCTGGTGCCCTCAGCCCCGGGGGTAGCGGGACAGAGGCGGCATCACTTCCATACCCAATGGATGAAGAAGGAGGCTGAGGCCCAGAGAGGGGCAGGTACTCACCCAAGGTCACACAGCGAGGCCCAGGATGCATCCAGACCTCCTGACTCTCAACCTCAGCCCCTTAGAACCCTACGCTCGTGTCCCGGGCTCTCGAACCTCCAGGGTACTGACACTCCCTGCCCTCAACCCGCACACACACACACCCCAGTGCCCCCCCCAACCCCCTTACCTCTGGGACCCCAGTGGACCCTGCCTCAGACCCGGCTCCCGGGCGGGGCGCTCACGTGGGGCAGGACTGGCCTGAGCCAGGCTAGGTCAGGGCGTGTCCTCTGCTCCCCCCGGAGTGAGGACGCCCTCCGCCAGGTCCCAGTTGGCATGGATGCTGCTTCCACTGCAAAGACCAACCTCCCACCCCTATCTGTAACAAGTCCACATACAGGGAGCCCGACTCAGAGGCGCAGCCGCCGGGCTGCGGGGCTACGGGGCTGCGGGACGAAGCAGGGGGAGGGATGGGATGCGGGTAACAGGGCGGAGCCCGAGCGGGGCCACCCAGCGAACCACTACTCAGGCCGCGTCCCCTTTAAAGCTAGCCGGCAGGAGAGCCGGCAGGGGCGGGGCGGGGAGGGGAGCCGGACTGCTCACCGCAATGCCTCCTGGGAGAGGGAGTTTGCGCTGGGTACACCCAATTACAAAGAGCCCAGAGAGAACTACAAATCCGGGAGCGCTGCGCGCGGTACCGGGCTGCCACGCCCCTGGGCTGAACTCCAGGCCTCCGCCCCTCTCTCGCAGCAGCTCCGGCCGGGCGCAGAGGGGAGGCTGCAGAGAGCGGGCGTGGAGGTGGGTGCCGCGCGGCCTGGGGCGCGAGGCTCAGGTATAGCCGGTGAGGGGGGCGCGGGCCCACCCGTGCACCTGTCCTGTCACGTGAGGTCATCTAGCCTACCATAGCCTCGCCATTCTCATCTGTGCAATGGGGATGGTAACTCCTGTGGCTGCAGGGGAGGGGGCGCTTAATCGAGGAGAGGAGGCGGAGCTGGTGGAATCGAGGAAGGAGCCCGAATGGATGGCGATGGTAGGAAAAGCCGAAATAATGAGGTTGAGACTGTTGGGAGTTTTTGGCGGGTGAGAAGGGGAACACGCGTTAGGTCAGAGAGGGGGACTCCAGGGCTGGGGAGTGCGTGCTGGGAGTGCCGATGAAGCAGGCTGAGGTTGGGTTGGGTGGAATAGGCCCAAAAGCACTTGGGAAGAAGGAGCGGAGAGAAAAATGAAAAGGACGCCTCCCAGCCCTGGAAAGCCCAGTGTCGACTTCGCTGATCGAATTGGGGAAAGGGGTTGCCCGAGTGCGCCAACACCTGTGAATGCACACAATGCCTTCCTTTTCTTGTGACTAGAAATAAAGAGCCCAGCCCTCGAACTCAGTGCGTCACACACATGATCTCATTCAACCCCCACACCCTGTAAAGGCGTCACCATATCTGTTTACAGGTGAGGAACCTGAGGCTCAGAGAAGTGAAGTGACTTGCCCCAAACCACCCAGGACTCCTTACTTAAGAGAACAGGCAGAGGTTTAGTCTGGAGTCGGTGGTAGGGAAGGAAAAAAAGCTGTGATGCCTTGCCTTTTGCAGGTTGTGTGACAGGACCTGCTTCCTCAACCCTTCTGAAAGCCAGCCAACCTGTAAGGCAGCCCTCCTATGGCTATTGTGAGGATGAAATGGGGAGATGGATTTAAAATCCCTTTGTTTACAAACTCATTGTTAGGAGCAGGAAAACCTAACATAAGGGAAAGTGTTTGGAATGGGGCGCTTGTGCCAAAAGAAAATCACAAGATGAAGCCTGAGAATGTGCTGAGAGAATGAAGGAAAATTTTGGAACAGGGTGGGGGATGGTAATTGTTGTTGGGATCCTGGAACAGGTGAGAGAACATTGTGCTGTGCAAATGAGGAAGCCAGGTTGCCAGGTCAGATGGCTTTCCTCCAGCAGCCTACCTCCTTTCCCTAGCTCAGGGACTACTTGGGCAGCTCACTCCAGGGCCCAGGAGTCACCTGAGTCTAGGTAATAACCTTTCCCTGTACAGTGTGGGTTGTGGGGATAATGGAACAGCCTGTGGGCTGCTTAGAGATGTGAACTGGGCGAAAGAGGGCTAAAATTATAGCTGTTGGGGGTAGGGAGGCCAGGAAGAGAAGGTGAAAGGCAGTCCCCAGGGCTGTGAGCCAGTCTGTATGCTGGTGGGTTGAGTAGGGTGGGAAAGCCTCACCGGGTATAGTGGGAGACACATCACATTACCCACTCGGAGCATTTTCATCCTCGAAATTTACCCAACCACGTTCTCTCCAGCTCCCACACAATGGGGCTTTTGCATTTACTTCCATGTGGCCGCCTGGACCTTGCCCTGGGCCCTAGATTCCAAATTGAAAATTCAAGAGAGTATTTCCAAAATAGAAAGTTTTAAACATTCTGGAGAGAGTGATAAATCTCCCTTTTGGTAGATGACTGTCATTCTAGGGTGAGGAAAATGGATCTGACTAAACGGGAAGTACTTTCTTTCCCTTCCCCTACCTGCCTGCTCTAGGGGTACAGAGAGGGGAGATCCCAGCCCCAGCAAGGTGGCACCCATCTACTTAAGTAGAATGGGACTTGGTAAGGGGTGAGAATAAAACTCTGCAGATGCAGAGAAAGAAGGAATGACTTGGAGCTGAGGGGCCTGGCAGGTGAATGGGACTTGCCTTTACAGTGCAGGCAGAGAGGATGGTAGGTGCCAAATTGCAGAGGTGGGAGAGGGCCTGGCACGAAAGTAGAGCTAATAATAGTACAGGCATACCTCAGAGATGTTACAGGTTCGGTTCCAGGCCACCGCAATAAACGAGTATTGCAATAAAGCAAGTCATTGATTCTTTTGCAGGTGGAGGGGCTTGCCTTCCATTTGTAAAAAACAACTGTGAAGCACAACAAAAAGAGGTCCATCTGTAGCTGAGCTCAACCTGCAGCAGGTGCCTAGCACAGTAATAATGTCAGCCATCATTATCACTGCTGCTATGTTATGATGACGGTGACACCATGCATCCAGGAACTGGTCCCCCCCGAAGCTAGTTAAGTGGCAGAGCCTGATTCCAACACTGGCCCAGGTGATGGCAAATCCCATGCCCTTGTCTTCCCGCCTCAAAGCCCATCCAGTTTTTTCTGATCGTCCACAGCATTTGTGAGGCCCGGAAGTGGCCCCCGTCTGTGGACATTCTCCATGAGCCCTGACGGGAGTTTCTTCCCTTCTGTAGAAGCAGAGGCTCTGGCTTCAGGAAACAGCAGAAACAAGGTCTGAACAGCCATCTTCTCCCAGCCTGGATCCCCACAGGGAGGCTGGCAGGCCTAGCGGTACAGTTTCTGTAGACAGAGGGGCTCTGTCGGTGACCTTTTCCTACTGTGGGCTATTACATCTTAGCCTTTGTTGGCTTCCTCCTCCTCCAAAGCACAGCGACGCATGGAGATTTTCAGTGCTTCTTAGTCATAGTAATAAATCTGTTCATTGGACTTGGGCACTCTGACTGGAACTTTACATCTGTGGGAAAGTGTTCTTTTCTTTCCCCTTCTTTCAAAATAAAGGTATTTTTAGAATGTTCAAGCCTACAGAAAAGCTTAAAGAATAGCCTTTCACCTAGATGCACCAGCTCACTTTGCTGATTTTGCTTTTACACACACTTTCTTCTGCTAAACTATTTGAAAGTTACAGACATCTGGACACTTGACTCCTAAATTCTTTAGCAGGTATCTCCTAATTATAATATTCTACAATAACCGTAATACCATTATCATTCTCAAGAAAATTAGCAAGAAGTCAATATTATCTAATAAACATTGATACTCAAATTTATCCAGCTGCCAAAAATCTTATGGAGATTTTTTAAAATCAGATGCTGTCAAGATTCATGCATTGCATTTAGTTATACCTTTAAGCAACTCATTTGAACTAGATAGAGCCCTTCTACCTGTTTAAATTTGTTTGATTATATTATCAATGATTAAATTTTTCTGATAATATATACAGTACTTCTTACTGCATCACATTGGGGCATATGATATCAGGTCCTACTACCCATGAATGCTAAACTTACTGGCTAAGGCCATGACAGCCTGATCTCGCCATGGAAAGGTAAGTTTTCCCCCAGGTAATTAATAAGTAATCTGTGGAGTGAGTCTCTGAGACTTGGAATTGTGTGTTCATGATAACCTTTCACTCCATATCCATGGCTGATCCTTGCCTGAATTGCAACACTGAGGATTACAGATGGTAATTTTCTAATTATGCCATTCTTACTATATTTATTAGCTGGTATTCTGTGTTAGGGAATAACTTTTCCTCTGTGTGTGTGTCTGTGTGTCTTTCTCACTCCCTCTGCTTTTCTTCTTTTTTTCTTTTTGTAGTAACAGACTCCTGATTTTTTTAAGAGGTCAGTGTATTACAACCCATTATCATCACTGATCTTTTCAGTACTCAGACTATCCCAAATTCAGCCAATGAGAATCCCTTCGTGCCAGCTCCTGTGTTCTTTTGCATTGTTTTTTTATTGAGATACAATTGACATATAACATTGTATTAGTTTTAGATGTACAACATAATGATTTGACATGTATAATTTGAGAAATTATTGCCATAATACATTAGTTAACATCAACACATACAGTTACTAAAACTTTTTGGTTTTGATAAGGACTTTTAAGATCTTCTGTGTTCTTTTGACATGACCTCATTAATCTTTTATTGCTTCTTTCCTACCTGGAAAGAGACATTCCAGGCTCACCTTGACTTTTCCTATCAAAGTCCTGGAATAGTCCATGTTTGTTTTTTTATTTTTGTTTTTAGGAAACACTGATTTGGGGTTTTTTTTGTAGGACATAACATTTAGAAACTAGGACCTGGGGTCATATTTGCTCGTTTTTACTGGGGTATCATTTCTAGGCTCTTAGAGCCCAGCCAAGAAATGATGGATAATCATTGCTTAATAGATTCATTGTAGTTACCACAGCTGGTTCTGACTGTGTAAAAGGAGTATATGGCATGGAAAATAGTTTCACTGTGGAAGCTCCGTGAGCAGGGAATTGCGCAGAAAAAGCCCATGCCTTTTCCAGGGCTCCAAGAATGTACAGGCTATTAGCTAGGGCCTCTGTGGCTGGGTTCAGTCCCTTGCTCAAAACTCAAATTGGAGAAGACACCCCAGGCTGCCTCCAAAGGACTGGTTCTCTGAGCACTGTCCAAACCCAGATCCTCCCAGAGGCCGTGACTCAAAGGTCAGGAATGCACAATGCCCTCAGCCAGGGATTCATCCTCTGTGTTTGTGAAATGAAGACTACGTGGCCCGTCTTGCCAGGGTCCCAGAGCTGTGGTGCAGACACATGTTTTGTAATTGCTGACAAGTCTTTTCAACATGCACTACAAAAATTCCTTCTCTTTTTCACTCTTTGCTTTATAGTTCAATTTAATATATTGTACTAATATAACTATCTTTTTTCAAATATTGTTTCAGATTATCACTCATCAACTTTTCCAAACTGAGATTTTAATCTTCTTAAAACCTTTTTTAAATTATTTTTATTGTATTTTTTTCCATTACCATTTATCCCCCTTATTGCCACAGTGTGCCCCCCACCCCCAGCACAATCCCCACACGTTGTCCATGTCCGTGGGTCCTTTTTCCTTTTGGTTCTATCCTTCCACCCCCCTCACCTCCCCCAGAGCTGTCAGCCTGCTCTCTCTCTCAGTCTGCCTGTTTTGCTTGTTAATTCAGTTTGTTCATTAGACTCCACATGAGTGAAGTCACATGGTACTTGTCTTTCTCTGACTGGCTTATTTCACTCAGCATAATGTTCTCCAGGTCCATCCATGCTGTCGCAAAGGGTAAAAGTTTCTTCTTTTTTGTGGCCCAGTAATATTCCATTGTGTCAGTGTCCCATAGTTGTTTTATGTGCTTACCTACCAATGGACACTTGGGCTGCTTCCAAACTGTGGTGATTGTAAATAATGCTGAGATGAACACAGGGGTCCTTATGTTCTTTCAAATGAGTGTCTCAGGTTCCTTAGGATAA